TATAGTGTACACGGTACACACATCGATCACGCGCTGATCACACAAGTGGTCACTCAACAAATGACGTCATGTCATAATCATATACTAGCTTAGCGTTAGTGTATATTCACTGACGCTAACAGAAGTGTATTCAGATATTAAGCATTAACTGGAAAAAAATGTTTGGTAGTGTTAGCGTTCGTTTTTATGGGCGAACACTAACCGTGTTCTTCGCTCTCTAACTTTATTCTTAAAAAGCAAGGGTATATATATGAATAGTGACAACAAAGAAGAAAAGAAATACAAATGTTAATCGAGGTGAAAGAAAAGAAGTAATCGAAGTAAACGATAACATAGAAGATATCGAAGAAAAGAAAAGAATAGAAGGATCGAGTTACATGTTATAGTGATACACTGTAACAGGTAGCACGTGTACTAAGCTGAAAAGAATGAGAACAAGACACATCTTTAAATCAATTCGATCAGTTGATGAGAGCGACGAAACAAATTGATTGTAGTCGGCTGTCATAGGATAATCGTCAGGAATCTTAGGAATGTAGCCTTTGACATTAATGATACGTGCCATACCAGAATCTATTCAAAAATTAACCAACATCAATTTATTTGAATATTTGTAACCAGTGACTTAAACATTGTATAGTCAAGTGAACAATGTATGGCTTCCATATCAAAAGTAATGTGACAATGGAAAAGCCAACTGCCAGGGTTGTTTGCAATAATTCCGAGGACTACCCAAGAAAATTTGGGCACTTTAAAAGTGTCTCTAATTGGTGGATTGTCAAAGTTCAATTTCTCTTCATCTGTTTCCAGATTGAAGTTTTGAGGTGAATTAGTGTCGCTTCCAGTGGCTAAAATGTAAAAATCATGACCATGAAAATGGAGAGGATGACTAATTGGCGCGAAATTATTAATTATGATTATCAATTTATCGTATTGGTTAACTTCAATTATTCCATTTTCGCTTGGCTCATTCTTGTACAACGAGTAGAGTGTAGGTGTCTTTGACATACGGAATCGTACTTGATTAATATAGCATTCGCTCAAAACAGGCTCATTACATGAGACGTTGAAGATGACGGCTTTACTGATGTTGAAACGTGGCGGCTTCAGTGGTATAACAAGAGAATTATTATTATAGTTATTTGGTTTGAGGGGAGTAGAATCATCAAGAATAAACATAGGATTTGCGTAGACAGAAACAGGATCCGCATCGCTCGCACCTTCATATTGCAAGATAGCATGAAACTGTGAGCCGATTTCGTCTCGGTTATTAGTAGCATTGATTCGAATCCAATAAAGATCAATTGGCTGATTCATATGAACAAGAACATCATAGCGTTGACCAATATCGATGTACATTTCTTGGATTGTGTAGCTATTCACATAGACCCCATCCATCGCTACTATAGTTAGATTATGCTGATCAATAGATAAACTATAAGCAAACTGAGATGCAGCCGAGATAATACGAAATCGATATGTCATATTCGGCTTAACGTAGAACCGTTCGAGTGAATTATTCGCAATGCAGAGACTTTTGTTCATTTGTTCGGGTGTACAATTAAAACGTGCTTTACCGTTAACCAGACCGGACACAAAAGGGGCAAATGGGTTATAGCTTTTATTTTTGTAATGCATGAAAATATCAAACGTGTCAATAACATCATTATGATACCATTCGCTAAGGATCATATTATATTCAGACAGATTCCCATATGGATCACAGGGGTCTCGCACAATCAACATTCCGAGCAGGCCATCAGTGTATTGTCCACCAGTATGCGAGTGATACCAGTGAGTACCGATTTTGTCAGCTTTGAATTTATAGTGAAATTTTTGTTTAGGTAAAATTGAAAATTGAGTGACCTGCTGCACACCATCCATCCATTGACTCTCTTTTTGATGGATTCCATGCCAATGGATAGAAATACTCTCCGTTGGCAGATCGTTTTGTAGGTATAAATCAATCGTGTCACCTTTCAGCAAATCAATGATTGGACCTGGATAATGAATAAGTGAACTATTAATATTGTTGTCGCTGATAACGATCATACTTCGAGAGAAACCATCTGGACTTCCTTTCGTATAGTACACTGTCCAGTTGTATGATCGGACAGTCGACTTCATTGAAAAACATTGCGCCGCCAACGAATAGTGTACAAGGAAGATCAAAGAAAAAGTTGACAAAAACATAAATTTTCTGCACTGAAGCATTCACGTTGCTAGACTTTATCTAAAAATAATATAAGTCATCAAGTTGGATGATTGAAACTCTTCCAATTTTCTCCAAAGTTTGTGAATATCAAGAGAACGATGACTTCTTCTTAGATAGTCACCTGTGATGGAAAATCCGAAGTCTTTTACCAAAGTTGAATAAAAGAGTCGACGTAGGTCTGAAGTGCACGAAAGTGAGAGTTGTTTAACCTTTCACTATCGAGAAAGACGAAAAGAAAAAAAAATCTCCTTTAAATACACATAACATTGTCTCGGACCACTCTTGTATCAACTTTTTCACACCTACAAAAGTGTGACTGCTTACTTCCTCACTGTTCTTGTGATGATTCACGATGTAATATTTATAGATAAGAGTTTGCAGTCTCTGCTACACATTGTGACATTACTTTATATGGTGGAGTTTCGATGGAATTTTTTAAAGTTTTTATTCTTCTCGGCTATGCCATGATGCTCAAAACTGATCGCGTAATCCAAATAAAGTTCTATGTGAAATAGCCGTCTCATATAAATGCC